AAAAAAAAAAAGTAATTGGGGATCTTCAGAGAAATAAAAACTCTTACTTTATTTTGTTTTCTTTAAAGGAAATGTTTCCTATTTCTGTATTTTGAATCTGTTACCTTATTAGGAAATGCTTGAGTTCATGGGTAAACACACTGCAATGGTTTGCCCAACACTTCTGTCTTAGAATTATTTTCAAATAAGCACAAGCAGGCCTGTTTAACTTGTATACTTTCATAAGTTTACCCAACATTTGTTAAGCAGACATGTGAATCTGAGGAGACTCAGTAATAAGAGATGAAGACATGTATATGCCTCACTAAGATCTAAGATGGAAATTAAGAGAAGAAAACATAAAAAACAGAAGACTGAGAAACTTAAGAGTCAAGGGAATGATGATTGAGTTGTTAAATAAAATAAAACAATACAAATAATGAATTAAAAACAGATACATGCATACACATTTGTGCCATTTGATCATAGCTGCTATGGTATGGAGTCCTGGTGTGGCACTGTAGGATAAGTACAGGACCGCAAAGTTAGTTTGAACCACAATGTCAGTGGTTCAAATTCACCAGCCACTCCTCAGAAACCCTATACTGGGCTGCTAAGAGTTGGAACCAACTTGACGGCACACAACAATAACGATGGCACTAAGCAGTATGCATTGGACTCTTATCTGCAAGGTTGGTGGTTCAAACCCACCAGCCACTCCTATGCCTCACCCCATTCAGTCTCTCAGCGTACCTCTATTCGTTGGACCGTTTTCTTTCCTGTATAAAATATCCATCTCTTTTTCTGGAAAACACTTATCCTTTGAGACTCAGTTCAAGTGTGATTGCCTCGAAGCCTTCTTCGAATTCTCCACAGGCAAAGTAACTAGTCCTTGGTGTACATCCTTAATGTGTCCTTTCAGTATTTTCAAAGAAAGCATTACCAAAATATAGGCAACAAAAAGAAAGCTAAAATAAACTTCTTATTTTTAACAATTTTAAAACTGTCAAAACAGAAAATCAATGGACTCTAGAAAATGGAGACTAGTTACTTAGATTTAGTAGAGTTTATCTATATTTGTCCAAGGAAGAAATAAATCTTGTTGAATTTTGGCTCCTCAAAAATATCACCAAAACAACTGTTGACAGCAAAACTGAATTTGCTCTTAATAATGGTAAGGGAGAATTCTACCTCAACTAAGTTTTGGTCTCAATCTCTGAGTATCAGCAAGGAAAAGGCAAAATTGGAAATATTTATGAGATTTTGAAGTCTGGTTTAAATCAGGTCTTTTAGTGTGGGTTAAAATCAGGCAAGGATCATAAGAAACTTGTTTAGGATTGACGGACACAGTATGTGTAAGCCATCTTACAGTACTTTCTATGTAAGAGTTGATGACTCTTCTAAAGATTCAGGAATGAACAATAAGCTTATTTACAACTTTCACTTCCCAGGGAAGTCATTCTTAGAATAGTAAAGTTAGGCTTATAAAGATAGTGGAACAGTAGTGTTACGCTAATGAAGACAAGTATGCTGTGTAATTAATTATAGACAATTTCAGTTCTCAGGGTTCCTCTTGTAGTCAGTCTTCAACCTCAGCTGAAAGACCATTAATATAAAAGGTATGGTCAATCCAGACTTTCACTCCTGTTTGAGACATCATAATCATATCAGAGTTCTGGTGTGGCACTGTCGGATAAGCATTAAACTACTTACCACAGGGTTAGCAGTTCAAACCCACCAGCTACTCCTGGGAAACCATATACAGAGTCACTGTGAGTCAGAACCAACTCAGCAGAACTTAACACCAACAACAATCATATATCGGGAGCACAGTGGCTCCACAGGATAAACACTGAACTGCAAACCACAATGTCAGCAGTTCAAACCCACCAGCTACTCTGTAAGAGAAGGCTGGGGTTTCTGCTCCCACATAGAGATATAAAGCCTCAGAGTCGGAACTGACTCGATGGCACTTAACAACAACAACAAAAATCATATACCAAGTATCTGGAGGAGCCTGTTTATGAGTGGTCATTTATTGACTCCTTTGATGGGCCAACAGGTGCACAGCAGCACTTAGAACTGTGACACTCACACTTCTGAACCCTACTGTGAAGATGTGAAGAGGGTTATGATCAGAATCTGTGGTCCTTTTATCAGCCAGCAGCCAAGAGTATGCAAAATAAGTAAAAAAGAATACAGATTATACCCCCTCCCATTTGAGAAGACCACAGAACCATATTATTAGTCAAATTACCTAATTTGTATTACTTCTTTGCTTGCTTCTTGGATCCTTTTAGTGAAAAGACAGATCCCAGGGTGTTCTACAGGGATGTAAGAGTGCCATTCTTGCTCTAAAGCAGTACATGTTATACCTTGAGAAGCCAATTTTATATTGCACGTGTCTATATTTTCAACCGCTGCCTGTCTAACTTCATGAATCTTCAAGTGAATTCTTTAGCATTAGTGTAATCTGAATCATAGCATGTAGAATAATTCGTATTTTCTTGGGCCTCTTGTAAATCATGACGTTAAAGAGGCTTTGTGAGAAGAAATCAATCTAGAATTTCCCTTTGTGGTTGTTGTTTGGTGTTGTCTACTCAGTCCCAACTCCTTGCAACCCTGTAGGAGCAGCTAGTAGGTTTGAACCACTGACCTTGTGGTTAGCAGTTCAGTTCTTATCCTACAGTGCCACAGGATTTTTATTCTTAAACTAAGACCTACTCCCTCACCTTCACCCCCACCTCCCTTTTTTTTTTTTTTTTTTAAGTAAAGGCTTTTGTATCACAAATTCAGTACCAGGAATCACCCTGTTTTCAATTAAAGATTCCTGTGAACTTGTCAAATAATATGTTGGTACTACTCATCAAGAATAATTCAGGAGAGGCTGAGGCA